TTTCCTTCCTTTATTGACGATGTGCCCACAATGGGAGTTCCACAATACATGCAGAATTCAAAGATGCAAGCAAATATCAGAAGTCAGGTCGTGGGGCGACAGACTATTTCCCCACCTCCACTATTAGTTTCTATCTTAATAAGTTGCACAATGCAGTAAATGATCCCCATTTGATAATCCCATGTACCCTCCCAGCTTACATCCTATAATACTCCTCCGTAGTCTTCTTTACCTTCATCACTGGAATGTAGAGACAAATAAGGAAGGTCTCCATAGAAACCCCTGGACATGGTGATGTCGAACTTAGTGACCTGCAGGGGCAGTGCCTTCTCTCCCTTCATTTTTTCCGAAAACCTGTTTGTACTGGCTCTTATCAAAATGTTGTAGTACCACCATCCACTAGTCCTCTCCATCAAGGCTGTGTTATGTCTCCCTTGACAGTCATAGTAACATATTCTCAAAATATTCTGTGGGATAGTAGACAGCTGGTTCAGCAGTGTCAGTATACATTAATATATATAGCATTTCATAGAGCTTTAACCAGAGGCACAAGCTGGGGTGATTCAAAAATTATTCTAATACTTAAGTAAAGTTATATATATTAGTAATAATAAAGTAATCGATATTGATCATCTAAAAATCAAAAGTTAAACCAATAACAGTAATCACGAATGGTGATTTCAGTATAAATGATTAAAATTGTTCAGTCCCTTTAGTCCCTTGAACAACATAAAAGATTATGTAAAAGGCTTACTCTCTGATCATCAGGCCTTTACAGAAGATCATGTACTGACCTGCCAGGAGTAGTAATTCAGGGTAAAATGGATTAATTTAGAGAAGAATGTTGTCACATTATTCGGTCGATGGTTATTGAGGCCGTTTCTTCTGATTCGTTTGGCCATGTAATGCGCAATGTGGTCAAAAACAGATGCTTCACAGAAATAAGGCCATGGCAGTAAAATACTTAATCAGCTGGTACTGCCTCTGTTTTTTTTTTTTCATTTAACAATGTGGAATGGAAACGGATCGCGAAGCCAGCTGAGCCCACAACATGCTTACACACACGCAACACCTGGGAGAGCCCTAGCAAGTGTACAGGGAGGGAGGACATTGTCAAAAACATCCCAGTGCTTCAGAGCTCCAGCCTGATGATGCAACAGTGTGCAACACTATGTTTCCTGACTCAGCTGCCCGCACTGCCATCTCAGGTTGCGCATGTCACCTGGGGGAGAGGATCAGATCACGTTGACAGTGATCCCAATGGAGCATGTCTCGTCGTCTCCCTCCTTTTCGTCTCCAAACGTTGGCAGCAGGGCTCTCAAATGGGAGCCTAAACAAAAAAAAAAACAGCAGCTACGTCAGTCTGTTTGATGACTTATGTGTTGCAATTGCACATACTGTAGGTGGGTTGCAAAATCAAAACTGAGCTTTCCTCTTGCCTGTCCGTGTTTGCGAAGAGGAAATTCTGTGTCGTATTCGGAAGCTTGGAAAATGGACTGGAAGACAATTGACCTTCATTTTCAAAGAGGCCGTTCGGAGAGCCTGTTCTCTGAGAACGGCTGCAAATTTTGTTCCCACAAATGCTTTAATCAGGCCCATTGCTGCTATGTCTACCAGTGAGGAAGGCCAAAGCTCATTGGGTGGATTCATAGATCTAGACAAAGTAATTTGTCTGTATCGACTCTAAACCATAAACCTGTTAACCACCACAGAAAAACGGGGTGCTCATTCACTTATGGCAGCTGCTGCACTTGAAGCCCAGTCTTCCACCAACAGCCTATCTGTTTACACACATCCAGCACTTCAAGACTACAGACTTTTCAGACCTGTACATTTCAGCACTGCCATAAACAATGCAACGCTGTGTAAAATCTGCTTGACCCGCTAGCGAAAATTTTGGTTTGGCTATGCCAACTGTTCTAGAGGACAACTGGCCCTTGGTTTTTTACTTATTGTGGTGAGGGAGTGAACAAAGCAGAGGGTGAGAGGTTAAGAAGTGATTAGACCCAAAGAGGAGTGTTTGTTCACTCCCTTTAGACAGGTCGGAGTTAAGAGTTAAGATTTGGAATTAGGAGCTGTTTGCACTTCTCTAATCCTTTTTTTTGGGGGGTGACCAACTTCCTTTTTTCAAAACATAAACCTACAAAACAAAACCCTTCTCCTCACCACACAAAAATCTCCCCACCCGTTGGCGGTGCCCCTTCAAAGGACCTCAGAAGTTGTACAGGAAGTGGGGGCAGTACCCACAGAGATGAAGACCTGACAGCATCTGAGTAGGCCTGCACATCTTCACATCTCCACTGCCTCACTCCCGGAACTCTGGAGGCAGAGAGCTCCTTATAGTCAGCAAATGTTACTATCCAGTGAGGTATGTGGGTGATTTTTTTTCTGCAAAGCAGATGACACATTATCGCCATGTTTGCGCATTGCTGTCGTGCTTTCTGCACAGAGACTCTGCTGCTCCCTCCCAGCAGCTCCCCAGAGCGTGCACACGGTGTGTACAGAAAAGGAGTTTAAAGCAGTTTTATAGCAGTAGAAAGGCAACCATGGAAAACAATTTCTCATGGATTACGGAAAAGTTATTGATGTAAATGAGGACATAAAAACATGTCCAGGCTATCAGTGAGTCAATATAGTCCTCCAGTGTGCGTTGTCATAGTCCATATGCAGAAGTGCTAGCTTGTTTCACAGTGCACATTTTTTGCTGAACGCTTGGTTGAATGTACCAGGGGGCTTTTAAAGCACACATCTGGAGCAACTTCCTTCCAAAAAATTAGGCTTTTCAAATGAAGATATCCTTGAGATACTGGAACGTATCAGATATTTTGTCCTTATTTTGGCTGAGTCTAAAGTAAGGTCTGTGTAAACAGCTGCAATCAGGTGGCCAAGCATTTAGTGTGAGACACTGATCCTTGAGCTTGACATAACAAGATTTCTGGCTATGACGTTGATAGGGTGACCAGACATCCTCTTTTTCCCGGGTGACCAGACATCCTCTTTTTTTATCCGCTTTTTAAGACCTAAAATATCGGTCCGAATGGGTTTGATAAAATTCCAGAAATTGTCAGAGATTTTGTTTTGCTCGTTATTCAGACTGTGTAAACAAACATAGGACTAGATATTTTTGTTCGTTCCATACATTACCGGTAGATGTATTGAATTTACACGCAGCGTACATACTGTAGTGTGTTTTTTTAACTATGAGAAATAACAATGTTTCGTTAAAATTGATCATTTTTTAAACCAATGAGGACTTCTCCTAAAATATGATGTCTTCATTTTTTTCCTCAGATGTTAAGACTTTTGTTGTGTTAAGATGAAAAAAAACTTAGGGCTATATTTGTTGCCTTGTTTATCAGTATGGAAGAGAAATCGCAACCCTGCAACTGTTCAAAAGTTTACTAAGAAGTTTAATAAAAACTAGAGAGTTTTAATTTATTTTTTTTATTAGAAAAAGTACTTTGGAGGCATGTGTCGATTATCCCAACCCCGCACCCTCGTCCTCTTTTTTAAAAACCAAAATATGGTCACCCTAACGTTTGACGCACTCTTACGTTATTCTAAAATAAAACAGTGAGGGTATGTCTAAAATAACTGCTACACTACTCAGATAATTAAGATTATAAATTTCTTTCAAGCTTCTGGTGACTTTGATTCTGAACCGCTCACAACTGTAATTCAGTTTTTCAAGCTTTCAAGTAGGGGGTGGAATGACTCATGGAAGTTCATTCATATTTTACTTTAGAGAACGGATTCAACTCGCAAACCTGTGAGAAGAGATAAACGTGTTCTGCGAAATGAGGACAGGATTTGTTAAGTCACAGTGCTGTTTTAATCCGACAGCATCAAGAATCAAGAAGCACAGTTTTTTTTTCTTCAAAACGCAATTTCCCTCCGTTTTCTTAATTTTAATGACAGGCCTGGGATACATGTGAATGAATATACCTTCCCTTTTATTCGTAAATCACATTCAGATAAAACTATATCCGTTTCACATTGGTGTAGTTTGATTTCTATCATGTTTATATTCTGTGTAGACTGGAAAAAACGATACCACGTCTCCTGCCCCGCTGGAGTTTGAGCGGTCTGAAAGCATGTGTGATTGATTCTTGTGTGGCTCTTATGAAAGGTTTGAGGGTTTAGAGTGTGATTGAAGCATACGTGATACCGAAGCGCTTTTTTATATTATTTAGATTAGTTAAACAAACTTAAAAGCTTTTCTTATGTATTAAGAGCGGACCGAAATGATCCATAACACCAAAATATGATGTTTTGAATTATGGGTGAGTGTATGCACGGCAAAAAAATACATTTTTTTTTCATTTGTAAATAAAAGCCGTCTGTGTTATTCGGGGTAACATGTATGGGTCCGGCACTGATTCCAACTAAGAAATGGTTCTGGATATTCACTCTGTCCTTCGGATGAGACGTAAAGCCGAGGTGCAAATCGCAAACGCCGGTGTCCTGTCCACATTTTTCCCCGGACTTTACCAATCATGGCCTCCTAATAACCCCCATCTACAGTATGAACTGGTTTCATTACTCTCTTCTCCTCCCCACTGATAGCTGGTGTGTGGTGAGAGCGTACTGGTGCACTTTGGCTGCAGGCGTATCATCCAGGTGGGGGCTACACATTGGAGGTGGTGGAGGGGAGTCCCCATTACCTGTAAAGCGCTATATAAGTGTAAGGAACAACATCAACAACACTACTACTACTGCTACCACTACAAATAATAATAATAATTAAAAATTAATAATTATAATATCAGATTAATTATATACTTATGTTATTATTGATAACACATATAATATACGTATAATTATATTATTAACACTTAGTATAATTATAAGACAGGAACGTCCTTAAAAATCTCTGAATATTGTGAATGGTTATGAGCGACTACCCAGTAAAAAAAACAGTAGGTGGTTGTTTGCCTACAGAGACTGCAGGGGGCGCACAATTCGCCGTGAGATTATAAAAGCAGCGTTAGAGAGCGGAGTACAGCAGAAGAGAGGAAGGAGTACGTCAGAGAGGCAGAATGGCGGAGGAAGGCTGAGAGTTGGGAGAGCAAAAAATAAACAGTCTCCTGAACTACGGATCAGCGAACGCTACATTTGTAATCTGAAAAGAAATGGCCACCAACAGCTCGAATGAAGCACAGGACTCTAGAGGAGGCAGTGGGATCCGTGACGGGGATGCATCTGTGGAGAGTTATGATGTTCTGAGGCATTTGTTGCCAGTCTCGGCTACAGTCACATCCAGCCAAGATGGCGAACAAGCTGGATGTGAAGGACAGAAACTATTGGGGGAGCAAGAGACTGCCGAGCGGCGCAGGAGCGGGATGTCGGAGCTGAAGCACACTAGTTCCCCTTCGGCGTGTCAGAGAGCTTCAGAAGAGCAGCCACGGCGAAACTTTCAGATTCCCAGGAAGAACAAAGAGAGGAAAGGTTGTTCATTCTCACTATTCCTAAAAAAAAAACAAACGCTGTATTCCGAGTCCTAATTCATCCGATGCATGTCTATGCGAGAACGCTAAGTTAACTCGGCTGAGGGTAGAGAATGTTTTTTGGGATTGGTCCATCTGCGGAGGTTAGTTAATTAAACGGGAATCGTGAGGTCTGAATGAAAGTCAGCACTTGACAATGCACAACAGCGCAGGTAAGTTAAAATGCTGGAGGCAGCCACCACACAGCGGATAACCACGTGAAGATGGTACTTTTCCCTGTTGAGTTTATTCTGCCTCGAAAGAAGCCCCCCCTCCCCTCCCCCCCACAGTCGTCATTGGAATTTCTTTTTTTTCTTAAAAAAAAAAAATTAGTCCCCCAACTGGAGACCACGCCACTTTTATTGGCAACGGTGTAGTAGAAATATAAAGTATATTTCCACATTTGCGTTCTGGTCTCATGCTTTGGGTGGCTTATTGACCACGCCCATCATCGTCATTGGATCTTTCACGGAGTCCTTAATATGCAAACGCAGCAGCGGTCTGCCACCCCACTGGAAACTGGCGAAGTACATGTAATTAAATCATACGGTGACGGGATGAGTAGCTTTATTATTTCAATACAGTGAACACTGTACAAGAATAGTAATAAACAATGTTAATGACAGGGTTCCAAAAATACAGTAAATGACAATGTCCTTTGTCTTTTACCCGGTCAGGTCTTGAGTCCAATATTTAAGGCTATGATTAGCGATACATCAACTAGTACAAAGTCTTCTCAATATTGCATTGCTATAGAGAGACCTTTATGAATCATCTTCCAGACAGTGGCTTACCGTGATAATCCACTCCCTTTACAATCTTGAGCTCAAGTGCCATACAGATTGAAGAAGTGTTTTTGCCACCTGCCTTACGGTCATATTTTGGCTCCAGTAAACCCCAAGGGGCTCCAACAGTGTCTAGGTTCTTCAGTCCACTCATGAGGTCTTTGCCAGGGGTGCTCATTACCAATGAATGGGGCGGTTCCCTGGAGTCTCGCAGCACACCGTGGCTTTGGTTGCAACATGATATTGAGCCCAAGGCTGTTTGACGTTTATGAATGGCGACGTTTGTTTCAAACGCGAGGTGCATCAGGATGGCCAGAGGCGGGGGAAAGGCTTCCTATGAAAACACAGCGTGAGGCTGCCATGTTTAGACAATTCATAGTTACATTATCTGATGTAAACAGATCGGTGTTGCTTACACTTGGACATTGCCAAAATGGCGGTACTCCTGCAAGGCAGCACAAAAAAGAAATGGTGTTGTGTCATCAATGAGAAATCACTAGATTTCAGGTGCTAATTAAAACTTGGTTTTGGAAAGCAAAGCCCCATATTTCTTCAGGTTTTTTGAATACAATATTGAGCTTCCTTTTCAGTGATTATATTCACAGTTGAGTTATCCTTGAGGCAATATATAACTACCAATTTTTAGTACTGTTGAAAATCTGCTCACTTTTGAATAAGAAAGCTGGAGGAGACAAAGAAGGTCATTATCTAATGGGGGGGAAAATCTTGCGTCAGTACCCGAACCTTTGTGCGATTTGTTAAAAAAGAAGCTGAAGGCCACAGCCAAACATGGCTTATGTTTAATGACGGTGGATTTGACTAAAATCTTTCTAAGAATTCTAATTTCTGCTTGGCAGAGGATGAGCTCCTCATTGAAACCGTCTTGGATCAAGCCTTAAATCGTCTGTAATCAATCCAAAAGTTGTTTTTTTTTTTGAGGAAGCTGTGTTTAGCCACGGAACCTGGAGTAACACAGAAGAGCTCATGGAAACCACCAAAAGAGAAAACAAACTCATGAGTTGTGTGGATTGTGCATTGCAGTGAATGAAATGTGTAGTTTTGTCAGCGACTAGATTGAGGAGTGTGCCCACCAGTGGAAAAAGCAGTGGCTGAATGCACTTGTGCGCTTTTGATTTGTTTCATTTGGACATGTGAAAGTACCCTAGATGTGACCCTGAGTCTCTCGCATATTTAACAATTGCTCTGTCCCTCGTCTGTTTAGACTTTGGGAATACACATGAGTCTTGGATAATGATTTTAATTAGTTAGTTTCCCTTCTCTGCGCTCCATAGAACACATGTTTGATATCCTCCTGTAACCCGTGACACATGAATCAGTTGATTGTAGTTTAATTAGAGCAACCATGTTGCTATCCTCACTTTATGCCTTTTCTAAATAAGCTTTGGTAGGTCAGTAATTTCTCATGGAGCTGCGAGCTGGAATATTTTTATGCCATTAGTTCAGTTTTTCGTATAGATCCGATGCAACACTTGGATGTCTTCACCTCTTCCTCACCTCTGTTTATTTATTTCTCCCATGGATGCAAACCAGACTCTTCCTCTTTCACCACAAAATAAATGGTGCCAGCTTCTCGGGGGTTAGATATTCAGACCCTTTTTTTTCTGCACCAAGATAATCTTACGTTTGCATTTCGGTGTGCATCTTTTCTTGCCCATTTTTTTTGGGCATGCCATGCCAACAATCATGCAGATCCAGAGGACCTTCCACAAAGTGTCTGTGACAAACATGTTGGACTGCTGGAGGAACGCGTCCATCTTTGGGGAGGATCGTAAGGGCCCCCCATCACAAGTGCCGGCTGTGAAGCGTCAGAACTCTGAATGGGAATTTTGTCGCCCTGTGAATTTTTATGCGTTTCGCTCTGTTCGGTCAAAAGGGGGTTTAAAATTGCCTTTGACTTTTTTGTCGGTAAGACTTTTTTTCAACAACATGGGGGATGATTTAAAGAAATGTTATTGCCTATGGCATCACGTTGTGTGTGGTGGCCCTTTATTTCCATCTACGGTAATGGCGCTCTGCCATTTATGATGGTGTTGAGTTGGGAGTGAAGTGATGTACAGAATCTTTCCTCCTGGAGCAGTTTTTCGCCACTTAACGTTTGTAAAATCATTATGGATTTTTGAGAAAATGGAGTCTTTTAGCAATTTTTCTTGAAGCATGATTTGACACCCTATTCTGTAAGGCTGCCTTGATTTAAAATATCAGCTTTACAAAGCCATGATCTCAAGCGTGGTAAGAGGTAGTGTTGGGGCCATGGACCAGGCTGAAGGAACCGTCCTGATTCCGTTTTAATGTATAAAGATCAATTTTTAACGTGTAAGCAGATGGCTCAGAACAGTGCTTTTGGTGAATGTTTGCCACCAGAATTGTGTGGAGTGCAGTAAAGGTGGCAGCAGTCAGCATGCATCAAAGTTGCGTTGACATGTTCAGGAAGAGACATATCCCGGAAATCGACTTTTCAACGACAAACGCAGCTCGCTTTGTAGGTTTGTGTTAAATTCGACTTCCTCTTTGTGCCTTGAGTCTCTCTTGAGATAAAAAAAAAAATGTGGACAAGTACATGACCTGGCATTAAATTTTTCTCCAAAGCAAAGTGTAGGGTGGATGTTAACACTTGTATGTTTTGTCAAGATTTAAAACTTCCACCATCCTCGTTTCATTGTGGCATAGACTGAGTATAGACAAATACTATAATCCTGAAATGGCCTCATCCTTTTTTTTCTGACTTTTTTTGCCCTGTTTTTGGTAGTGCCTCCTACAGTTTAAGGCATGGACGGGCAACTTCAAAGTTGGGCACTGGTTAAAATAATGATTTTTTAGTCATTTATGGTGCAAAAGGGCCCAATAGGTTTATCTTTAATGTTGTTTATAGCTTATAAAAGGAGTTATGTCACAAAGGCTGTGGATGAAAGAATGCAGGGTGCCCCAGAATTAATTTCTGGAGTTTTGTCATGTAGAGATTCAAGAGCTGTCAAGAAATTCTATGACTTGTCAGTTTTTTCCATTTTCTTTTCCCAATTTACTATGTTCAGTGACGCTACCGCTGAGTCTAAAGCATTTTTAGGGGAAAAAGTGCTATTTTAGAAGATGATAGCTGTGAAAGCTTAATAAACTTTATTTCTAATTGTATTTTGTTTCTTAACTGTCACGATACCTGCAAGTTTCTAAAAAGAAATGAAGGGTAGGAGCGATGATAGTGTCAAGATCTCCTCATAAACGCATTTCATTTACCCGAAGGGTCAGGCACGTAGCAAATTGTATCAGGTGGTCCTTGCCAAGTAGTGCAGCAAAACATTTGTTTTAATTGGAAGTTTATTAAAGAGTGTATTATTTTTACATGGGTAGAATCATTGCACGTATGCCAAGCTAATGACTGATTTGTTTTTTCTTGACTGCACTTGAGATTGTTTTCACTAAGACAGAAGTGAAACCACCGGTTCCTTACAGACGGGGACAGCAGGACATTGAATGCAACGTGGTGTTTTAGCACCTGGAGTGCAGCAATCGGTACAAATACCAGCATGCCTCTTCCACACTTGCAGTGTAGGACTGTGATCTAGTTGCAGAAAATTGCATCAATCAGCACCAAAGATTCCCATCTGATCTTATATGAATTGATTTTTGCTGTTTTGGGTTACTAAACTTTGTGTGCAAGCAATGAAGTATTTCCTCTGTGCCCTACACCTTTGCCCTCCTTCTCAGACCACCAACTGAACACAAACACCCTGTCCTCACTGTCCCTGTGCACGTGTTAAGTTCTGCAGTGTCGTCCATGAAGGTATTGCGATTTCAGAAAATAACTTTGAATTTCATAAATTGCTTGGTGGTTTTAAAAACGTGGTGGCGTGAAAAACGGTAACCGTTTAAAAAAAAGACCTTGCATTCATTTATGCTTTTTTAAAAAAAATGTGGAGTTAAAGGGGAAGTGTCTGAGGAGCATTTCAGACATTACAGCACACTACTTTAAAATAACAATAAAGCTTCACAGCTGTTTGTCTTGCTTTTAATTTGCCTTTTGCCTTTTTACAGCAGAATTGAGAGTTTCTCTGTTTCCCCACATTTAATATATTATATTGGGGATGCAGAGTTAATTTAAACAATTGCTAGTTGCCCTCAGGTTTGGAGGCAGCACTTGGGCTGTGTGTTTTAAAGTTCCCTGCAAGATGTTGTTGCACTTTGTGCAGCTGATCTTAGTAGTGATGGAGTGTGGGATGTTTTAGGCACACCCCTGCAGCGTGGCTGATCAGAAGGAAAACTGCATTTCCGTGTCACTCACATTGTCTCCTGCCAAGAAGGGTTTCTGAGGGGCCAAAGAAAGTTTGTTGATCCTGCAGAAGCCATTGTGTTTTGAATTCAATTATGGTGTTGATTTCTGTTTTTGTACTCTTAAGTTGAAAATATTTTTTTTTTGTATGGCGTTATTGATAAAAGGTTGAGGTTTTTGTTGTCTTTGGTGAATTCTTAAAATTCCTAGTTTTAGGAATTCTAGTTTTAGTATGGGATTATGTCATGAACTGTCCTTCCGTCTTCCAGCTCTGTTTCAGTCTGTGCCTTTGGAGTCTCGGGAGTTTGAAGATATCCTGAAGATCATCACCTCTTGCTATCTGGAATCCTCTTCGGCAGGCGCCTTTTCATACACCAAGGCCAGCCTGGTGCACAGCGAGCTGCTGGAAAAGGAGGCAAGATTGTTTTCTCTTTTTGTTTAGTATGACGGAGTGGTGCTAATTCTGGGTTTTTGCGGTCTGCGTGGTTGCCGTTTTCATCTATTTTTGTTTCCGTCTAGTTTGTTGAGAAGAGAAGGGAAATGAAACAGGAAGGCAGGACAGACAAGGAGCTGGTGGAATCCTATGGTTTTCTGCTGGCAGACCGCTCAAAGGTGGGTTTTGGCCGAGTGGCTTCTGAACCACTGTGAAACGAGCAGCTAGCTAAAAATGATATGTGGAGCATTGTGGAAGTTTATCGTTATTGAAAGCCTTGGATGGATTTGCTGTCTCCTTGACAAAATGCCTATTCCCCCAATGTATTCTCTTACTTGACAGAATTGGAGGAAAAAAAACAAGCCACACAGAGGACCCAGAGTCTTCTAATTCCATCTAGACATTTTTTTCAGATTTCTGCCACTGGCGTTATCAAAAGTTTTGATGAACTGTTGAATCCAGGAGTTTGAGGTTCCACACTGGTCACTTTAACCAGAGGTGTGGCATGCTTACTGGAGGCCAGTGTCTAAAGTCTTGCTTGGTGTGAAGGCGTACAACCTAATCATAAGTGGGCCAACACCAGTTGGCGGTGATCCGCTTGAAGAAGATTGACCTAAGGGCAGCAAAGTGAGACACAATGTGTACCACAGGATGCATGGCCCAGGACACCACAAGTGCCTTGCTTAAGAGCCCATAAGCCAATTCTGTTTTAAAGTGTCATTTGGAGATTCAGTGTGCAAACTGCTGCAGGAATGGCATGGAGCCATGCTGAAATGATGGACTGGGGACAGATGCTTCAGTGCAGGGAAGTTAAGGAATCACATCATTTGAAACACTTTAGAGAAGATGGCTGCAGCAGGACCTGCAGGAATCTTTCTTGGTACTGCATTTTTCTCTCTCTGGTCCCAGGTCGACACGTGCGTGTTTAAACCGTAGTGTGAAACGGCACATCTGAACTGATCGACTTGGTTCACGTGGTGATAAAGAGGTTTAAAGAAGCTGACGTTGGCCACCATCACACCTATTCAATACAGCTGCTTTTCACTTTCTTCTCAAGAAATTTCAGCACAATTCTCCTGCTGACCCAAATACTGTCCTCAGCAATAGGATATCAGCTCAGTGATCTCTCGATATTACCATTGGCTTTGACAGTTTTTCCTGAGTATGTCCACCACTGAGGACCTCTTGATAATCATTGGAGTACTGCAGCAGGAGTCCATTTTTTGAACTAACAGAGAGTAGTACAGGGCATGGCATGCCCTTGTGGTAATAAACGTTAATTATTAATGGAGAAGAGTCAAGCAGCACTTTGTTTCAGCACCATTTTTCCTGTGGATCTCTGGCAGATCTTCACTCTGCACAAATATTCAGAGCTGCCTCATGAGAGAGGTCCTCCTGCCTCAGTCTGCATCTCTTTCCTGCTGTCCTAGCACTTGGAAGAGTTTTGTCCTGGCTGTAGCACCACTGTTTTAGGCTGTGTAGCTCAGCTCATCAAGAGAGAAGTGTGTTAAAGGTGTTGGCTGGGAAGCTTCAGCATAGTTATTAACTCTTAAGTGCTTTACTGATAAATGTATACAAGCTTCCTTTGGAAATGTTTGCCTAACTGTATGTTAAATGCCTTTTTGATAATGAACTTGAACCCTCCCCTAATGGAGCGCGGACAAAAACCCATCGAAAGGAAAATACAAGTAAGTTACAGGTGTCGCTGTACAATTTTTAAACTAATGCAGTGCACTAGACTAGAGTGTGCTAGCCTGTAAATCCTCCAGGATACACTTTATAACAGAGGTTTATAGTTGGAATATAAAAATTATGCTTTTAGGCAAACATGTTCAGTTGAGTGTTATTCTTGTGGTTTATGCTATTTTGACATGTGAAGCGTTTTCCTATCAGGCAGAATACAGTCATCCTGAATACAGTCAAGTGCCTTGTCACACCCCTTGCTAGGTAGTATACCAAAGTCCAACACCCCCTTCCTTCTTGCTTCCAATGCTGGGCGGTGTGGATAGAACAATGCTATTTTCTTCTGACATCTGCCTGCATTAGATGGAATCTCTGAGATTTTACAGGTGTTTTTTTTTTTGCCTTTTTTGGATCTTAAAGGCCCCTAGCAACTTGTTCATTGAGAGCTAGCGCTCCCCTCATCAGGTTTGTGGATCCACAGAACTCTCCCCCTCCCCCCCCCCGTCTTCCTCGACTTCTGGGACATGAAGAGCCCAGACCCTGGAAAATTCTGGGATCTCTGAGGATTTGGAATGGAGAATCATGTTGGAGTACTCCATGCTCTCAGAGACCCTGTCCTCGGAAACACCCCCTCTCCTCCTTCAAAGCCTAGAGATTTTATTAATCAAAACAATCAAACAAGGAACTGTGGCCCTGCTCTCCGCTCAAGTGCCCCTTGTGAATTCTCCCTCCCTCCACACACGATAGGTTGCGTTCTCCTTCCCAGCATTCTCCCCTGCCTACTGCTTTGAGCTTCCAGAAGCGTGGTTATAAGACAGCAGGACAGGATCCTCTTAGCCCCCACCTCAGGTGCCTGGGCTGTGGGCATACCTACTGTGCGGTGGACACCCGCTCCACTTGTGGCCGAAGACCAAGTGTGTGTGGCAGGAGGAGACAGGAGACAATGGAGACGCACACCTCCTACTCCAGACCTTAACGATGGATATTTACTCGATTAAAAGATGAGCCGCAGGCCCGCTTCCTCTGCCTTGTGCTCCAAAGCTGGGCCTTCCCCCTTCAGCCTGTCCCTAGCACCGGGAACCTTGTCTGAGTGATGTCCTGCCACCTCTGTGTTTCCATGTTTCTCTGTGTTGGAGCACACATACTCCACTCTTTGATCCCGGACCCTCTCAGATAATGGGTGCTGTAGCACCTGGATAGTTTTGGCCTCAGATTTGTATCTTTGTATGCCTGTTGACCTTGTTTTGTCTGTATTAGATTTTTGGATATGACATGGCTTTGCTTGTCTAGCTGTAGAATGCTACACATCAATCCTGGTCTTTAGATGTTCCTCAATAAAAAATGTGAGGTTAATGGGACCAAGATTTTTAATGTTGTTGGGGTACTTGTCAGGTTCAAAAAGGAAAAAAAGGCATATGCCGAAAAAGACTTAATTTACAACAGGGCGTGCATAAGAACATAAATGATATGAATGAGAGAAGACAAGATGGCCGATTCACATCATTTTGAATTCTGGTAAGTTGATGGAATGGTGGTTTCAAAAATATGATAAAAATAAGATGTCTCACTTCTTGTTAGTTTTTGTCACTAACAAACCGTGGACCAATGGAAGTAGCTTTTTTCTAAGCTGTGTTGTAATTTGTATGTTTTAGCTCAACTTGATCTGTGAAAAGGGGCTGTCAGTTGGGCACTCCAGGATAACGACGCTTGCAAAGCCTTCGATGGGTATGTTCAGTTGTGAAGCAGCACATTTAGCAGTCAATGTCCAAAGGGGTGTGTTTTTGTAGTAAAGTTAATTTTCCTAACGCATTGATTGATGTTTGTAATCTCCAGCATGATGAGCATGCAGAGTTATCAAGTTCCATTTACTGGAAAAAACCTTCTTGAAGTTGAGAGCAATATTTATAATGGATTACAAGAGATGTATTCACAAGCCTGCTTGTTTACAATGTAATAGGGCCACTTCACCTCACCAGACATTTTGTTGCCTTGTTCTGAATCGCAGAAAATGGGACTGCACATACGTGGAAATGTAGTCTTATTTTGTGACGTAAATTGAAGGTTTTACACATTACGGTGTACATATTACTTTTATTGTGGTTTGAAATAAACCCATTAACGATTCTTTCTAACTCTGAAATATAAAAATAAAATTGCAGTTCCCCATTTAAATTTAAACAGACATAAAGCAACTGGGTTTGGTACCGCATGTTTACTGTAGTACTTGTGGCAGTTTTGTTAGAAGGGCTCCTCAGAGAGTCAAGGATAACAACATTCTGGCCCAGAATTTAATTTTAAATTGGGAATTTAAAGGTTTAATCAATGTAAGAATTTTAAAATATAAATTTAATTCAGGAAAGAATTATGTATTAATTTTATTTATTTTTTTAAGGATGAGAGAATTAAAAGATGCATATAAAGATGATACAAGCCATATCACCATCAGTAACATAGACAATATTAATTATTTTGATCTCTTTTAGGCATCTACCTGTCCAAGCACTCTGATTTACTGCAGATAAATCCCTTTGATGTTGGGGCCACTGGTGATCTCATTATATTTAAGGTTATGAAGGTAAAATTTTTTGAACATGGAAGAATTTTTCTTTAATCCGTTTGCTTGCTTTCTGAATTTTCGACTTGAAGGTTGTAGGGGAAGCCTGTTGGTGTGAAGTAGTTCTGGCTGTTTAACAGTACAGTACAGGGGGGGGGAGACATTTCATCTTGTAAGACTTGAGGACACAGAGATGCAGGAGACCTGAAGCTGTGGCCAAACCTTCGTTTTCTTTGTTTTTGACAGGGGAGAGTCAAGAGCATATATGAAAACATGTCTAAGAACGTGCTGGACCCCACGCCCAAGTTTGACTGCCATGTGTCCAAGAATGCCTCACGCGTGACCTCCCTGTTCTCTTACAGAGCGTTTGAGCTGACACAGGTACACGCCAGCGCTCTCGATGAGTGCTCGCCCCATTGTCGGGCAGAGCCTTTAATCGTACTTCCGGAGACTGCTTCACAGCCTATCATGGAAAAATCAGAAAGCTTATGAAACCATGTTTTATAATTAATAATATATTTAAAACAATACTCTGGGTGGCGAGTATAATTTGTAACTTAATTTATTGCATAACAATGGATAAAGAAGGATGCATGATGAGGTGTGATATAACTGTTATTAATGTTAGATTTCCCAAAATTCCTATGATCCAGAATCCAGCAAAGAAGCATCGATACAGTTGCACACAGCTGTCATGATGACTGGATTAATAGATGTTTAAACTAGAGGAATTTGACAGGGCAGAGATTTTGTTGCTTACCCGAAGAGAACTAACAATTTCCAGCTTTTACATTTTATTCTTATTTTTCGGAGACGTCCGTTTTATTGCACAGTTTTATTTTTGAGTCAGGCTCACACTAGTTAGATGACATACGAGTGTCTGACGAGTATCCATTCGCATAGATCTGATCTCGGCAAAGGTTATCAAGTGATTATTTTAGTATGTTCTGTCCGCCAACTGTATGTGCTTTGAAGTAAGAGTGGCGCTGTGTGTTTATTGCATTTGCAGCAATACTTCTACGAGTACAGCTTTGATGAAATCCGCAAGCGGCCCAGGCATGTCTGTCCCTATGCTGTCGTGTCTTTTGTCTACAAAGATAAGGAGGCAGCACCCAACCCAAAACCTATGGCTCCTCTCAGGTACTTTCTTCCCACAGTCGGCATTGAAGCATAAAGTTGAAAAGCACAAACCATCTTCTAACTCGGGGTGCTGGGTCGCTCTTTGACTTATGTGGTTCTTAACCAGACGGCTCTCTTAAGATTTGAACGCAGAATAATTGAGATTGTCCGTTTTCCTTCCTTCTGTATGTTGCGCATGGTGGGTAATGTCTTGACTAATGTCTAATGACTAATTCACAGTTCATGATTAATTTCCATTTGCGTTTTTCCGTTTTTGTCTCAAAACAAACTCTTTTGGTTGTTCTTTCAGATCAAACAGCAACAGCTCCGATGGAGGCAGAGGTAATATTTTGGTATCGAATTGACATTCCTGGCGGTCTGTTTTTTTTCTCCCCACAACTGCCATTTAGTTTAACACTTGTAGAGCGCCCCTGGCTTCTGTAAAATCTTAAATCAATTTTAAGGATTTTTGTGAAAATGGTTTAAAATACCTGCCTGCCGAGATCTTTGATTATATTAAGATTTTTTCCCCGCAAGATTTCTCACGGCATTTCCTGTTAGAACAGGAAGTTGGAAGAAAGAGACGGGTTTGAAGACCTATATTTTTTTTAAGAGCTAAAGATATTAGGGAAAAATGGGAACTGTTTGAAGGGAGGCTTGAAATTCTGATTGATGAGCTCTGACACTGTTTCCGTGTATTTCAACCTGAACATTGAGATTAAATGGGTAAATCCTAAAGAGATTTTTGTCGCCAAGTTTCACTTGCTATATTTTGCATCATTTCGAAACCAGATCTTTGTCCCATAAAGTGTAGCTTATTTTGCTAGTTGTATAACTTATATAGCCTTTGTGGTTTTAAATGTGACAACTTTCTGCTTTCTCCCCTTTTAACTGTTTTTGTCTCAGACAAAATGGCCTACACGGTGTGGAATGGGCAACTGCTAAACCGCGGAAGACTGCTGTGTCATGTCTGCCTGAAGTCTGCAACCCGGCCTTTCCTTCCCTTCAAACTGTGAGTTTCCCCTTTATCGAGACCACACTTCCAAAGGGGTTAGTCTTTGAAGGGGGTGCAATGCATGATCAGTCAGTCTGTTTTACTGAGCTAAAAGTGTGCTTTAAGGTGCACGTCCTACTCAAACCACAGCATTCTTTAATGGAGCACCCTGGCACACATCAACTTAATACTGTAAATCCAGTTCTAGCAGTTTAAAACTAGAATCTCTCAATCTGTGTGCTGCGACACAGTGGTTCGTCTTCAGAAGTCAGTGGGGTTAATTGGTGTGCCATGGAATTTTGGGAAGAGTTTCATATAAGAAATAAATCAGTTTAAATATTTAGGTAGGTCAAAAAAACAGCTTGTGGTGTTGAATGTTCAGTCTATACAAATAACAGAGATCATGCTCTAATAAAGAACAGGTGGGAGTTGCATTTCGAGTTAAGTTATTCAAGCCTGATGGACAAGAAGGTCCAAGGAAGAGCTTTGTTTCATGGTCGTTTGTTCCTGCCAGGATAAGGCGACTGTGCACTTTGAGGGCGAGTTCAGCTATCAACAAAACTTATTGATAATGCGCTTGGGCCTGGAACGTGTTGAGGTGGGGAAGGGCGGTGTTTTGTTCTGTTTGTTGTGTGGGGATGGGAAAGCTTCGGAATCTGGTGTAAAATGAAGATCTGCGACTCCAAACAATAGAACTCCCAGAGGTTCCTAAAAATCCTCTGGATCGAGGAGTCAACAACTTGCTAAAGAGATTTACTTCTAAACAAGTGGAGCTCAGGAAGACTTCAGACTAACAGGTTTGAAGGATGGTGTCAAGATGCACTGTGGTGTTTTCAACTCGGTGAAGCAAACCAAAAAAAGAAAGTTCTTTGCTGGTTGCATCTGCTACTTTTTTGTTTTTTCCTCAGCACATGTTGGTCTGAAATCCTCTTTATTTGTTCTAGACCAGAAAAACTTGACATTGGTACAGTGATGAGCCTGGATCAGATGAAACGAAAAGTCCCAGCTGCTCTTCTCTACAGGGACACGTATACTGGAGTCCGGGAAGGTTAGTGGATCTCTGTACTCTTGGTGTTGCCCAGTTCACCCCTTAATCAGGAGCTGAAGTTACCAAGACACGAACACTCAAGATCTTTGCTTGGTTTGTGCCCATTCCACGTACAGAGGACTTGTACTTTAGTCACAGACTCATTGTCTACCATCTGTGAAATGGCTTCCACAACCTTCACGCCATGAGCCTTAGGAGCCATAGTTACACCTCAGTTCATCTCACTATTTTGCAGTTGGTATTAAAGGTAATTTATGCCTTGGATGCCCCTGAAGTTATGTGAAAACAAATATACTGCAACCTGTTTCAGCACAGCTCTATATTTTTGTCTTCCAGTGCAGAAGAATGGCATGTACTGTAGTCTGTTTGACATGGTAGAGAAAAATAAGACTGGGAACAGCTTAGCAAGCCTGCTTCACAAGCTCGAGAAGGAGAAAATGGTAAGCATTTACTGGCTTTTGTAGGTTGTAGGTGGTATCCTGACTGTCAAGTGGCTGTTCTTTCACCGTACTGTGTGCAGGCTATAGTATAAGAGTGCTTAAGTATTTTTGTGTGCATTGCTTTGATTAAACCATATTTACACATTTCACATATAAGCATGGATTACTTTACAAAAGTATGTTAATAAACTGGAAATGTGCAATAAAACAGTGAGGTTTATTCTGTTGTGTTTAAAATGTTGCTAACCTAGTCTACCCACCTTTTTCATTTAGCTTCAGCTCATATTTTGGTTATTCTGTTTCACAAATGTAATACAAAGGGTAGTGGTGGTGTTCACCGGGTCACATTGAGGAAGCAAGTGGCTTCTGAAATGAGAAGGCACCTACATTCCACTGTGGTGCTAGAGAGGAGATCAGGTCTTTCCAAAATTCAAGCAAGTGGGGGGTGAAAGCAGACCTAGTAAATTCAGCAACTGCAAAATCTGTCGTATTTGATTTGGGTCCATGGTTCTCAAAACTTGACATTGAAATCCACATATGACTCCTAGTCTCCATGACCAAGAAGCTCCGCTCATGGCATTGGACTTCAGAGTTGCTAGATGCGCACTAGGAACGAAGAGTCTCGCTTAGCTATTGCAGTCTTCGCTCTTGGCTAAGAGTAATACAGAATTACTGCTGATGAAATTAATGAGCCTTTTGTATTTCTGGGCAGGTGCTAGTGAATCCCTTGTGTGACAAAGGCTTTTTATTCTTGTTGTCCTCCTCTCAGATGACCGTTCCCAATGGTAAGTCAAGTCCGTCTTTCCTAGGTGTAATGATGTTCAAACAGTTTGACATCTTACCCTGAAGCGCAACACCCAATTTACGTTTTTAACTATTTGTTCCAGAAACGAAAGGATGGCGAGTGAAGTGCCTCCAGGCACTCTTTCTGTTTCAGGAGTCTCGTAGTGTACTAAACTGCGGTGAGTATGAGAATCTTTGGCTGTTTACGCTTGCAGAGGTCAGGCGATATAACATGTAGCAGGTCTGGGCAGGCTCTACAGGACGTGACAGAACTTTGTCAATTCCAGGATAAAACAAGTCACCTCAATTTGCAGAGTGGTATGAAAACGATAGTGTAATTGTGACCTGTTCAGTAAATTACGATGACTATGATTTAAACGATTGTGTATGTGCTGTATGTGTATGTGGGTGGATACTGTAATATATGTTTAGATGTTTTAAGTCTTAGCTGTCTGTGTTAAAGAAACAACCACAAAGGAGAAAAAAACATACTGAAAAAAGCTGAAATTAAAATAATGTAGAACATCATAGTGGCTGTGTTGTGATTTTCTTGCCCTTGGTTCACGAATCCTATAAAACGTTTTTGATGTGTGGTTCTAAAGGCTTCTAAACATGAGTGTTTTAAAAATGGTTGTGATGCTAATTAATTAGGTGCCGGTTTGGAATTACATGTGTTTTCTCACTGAAAGCCTTGAAACCGCAGTAAGCAAAATGGCTTTCTTTGGTCAGCAGCCCCCAAAAAACAACCTTCTTATCTGGACCCTCTCGCGATGGATATGCAAAAGCCGGTCGTGCCACACTTGGACACCTTCATCCCGGCACTCCACTTCGGCCTGATGAAGATGCGAGCCAACCCCACCGCCGCGCTGAGCCCCGGGGTGGAGCGCCACGCCCGGGACTACCTGCGCGGCCAGGCCGAGGGCCAGAGCAAGATCCGCACCTTCGTCATGTTCGAGTACGAGCAGAAGCTGGACGACCGCCGCTTCCTCTTCTCAGCGCCCAAGAAGAAGAACAACATCGAGAGCTTCCTCCGCAACTACCTCTACAGCCCCGGCGCCTACCAGCTGGCCGTGGCCCGGGTGCAGGAAATGGTGGAGGCCTACCGCCGGCCGCAGGAGTACAGCCCCGTGTCGGACTGGGAGGGCTCGGACAGCCAGAACGAGGTCGCCCACTCGGGCTCCCAGGCCAACGGCCCCCAGGTCACGGCTGACTATGACCAGGGGAAGCTGGAAGAGCTCCTCCACCTCATCCAGATGCGCAAAAAGCACCTGGGCGAGGGAGGGAAGCTCGAGGGGGAGGAGCAGGAGCACGAGGATGGGAGCTGGCACGAGGCCCGAGGGCTCAAGAGGAAAACGGAGGAGGATGTGGAAACAGCCTGCAAGTATCTGAGGACCAACTACAGCAACAATGGAGTGGATCGCAAAGGTGAGGCCTTGAATCAAGTCCCCACGCTGTTCATGATAAAGGCAGAGCAGGTTTAATGCCATGCATATGTGCATCAGGTTGAGCATGTGCTGCTTTTTAACTCCTCTCTGTTCAGAAAGCTCAAATAACAGCAACCACCTGATAGTTGTTGGTATTGTAATGACAGTCATAGCAAAACTCTGGTCGGTGTTAGTTTTTTTTTTCCTCCTGATGCAGGATATGCACGATTGTAATGCTGTTGCTGTGTTCTCAGGCGAGGGGGAGCGGTCTCCTGGTTTCCTGTCGTCTGTCGTTGACGGCAGAGCGGGGCGTGATATGGACGTGCGGACGCAGGAGAACCCCAGTCTGCCCATGTCGGACACCCAGACTCTGCTCAAGCTACTGCTGGACTCCCTAACTGGTGCAGTGAACCCGGGCTCGATTGCCCCCGGAGGCCCAGACCAGCCACCCGAGGAACTTGCTGGGATCACGGGGCTGGAGCCACACGAGGTGCCTCCCTACGACAACATGAGCAGACACAGCCTGTCCGGGAAGTGCGATGTCAACCTGCGCCTGCAGCCTGGGGGTGAGAGTCCCGGCGAAGACGTCCAGAACAACTTCGCTGAGGTACAGCTCCCTTTCTTGACTTTTGACCCCTGCCGGTCACTGCTTGTGCTCGCCTGAGCCGTCACGGATGTTGTTGTCCTCAGCTACTTTTCTCTCCTTTGTCACATGTCACAAAAATCGGGTATTATGCTAATGTAGAAATCATGTAAGAACTATTAGAATCATGCTGAAGGGTGAATTTAAAAAGCATTTTTTTAAAACAAAGTACACAAAAAATACAGTGTCCCGTTTTGCGTCTTTTTTTGATGTTTGTCTTGAAACGTTAATTTGGAGGTGAAAATGTGAAGTGTCTTCTGTGTGTTTGCGAGAGCAGATGGGGGGTAGCATGAGCAGTCTGGAGGAGTTCAGCCCATGTTCCAGCACCCAGCTGGAGCAGACACAACACTGGGAAACGGAGCCGGCTACTGAGGGCCAGATGACATGGAAACTCATTCCCATCACAGGTGAGGGGCAGGGGCAATATGTGAGGTCAATGTGAGGATCTTCACTATTCTGTTTTTCTTTTTGCGCTGATGTGTTTCATAAAAACACATTCGGTTACTCCCAGTTTCATTGTGTTTTTCTCCATCATGGATCCAGGCAGCACCACAGTATGATTGCGTGTGCTTTTTCCCAGTCCTCAAAAGCAAAAAGTTGAGAAAACATTGCCAGTAGACTGTTGTAACTGAAGTCCATCTGATTTATATAGCCTTTTCACTCTCTCACAGGAATTAAGTCTCACACGGAGAGCCTGTCATACCGCTTCAGTCAAGATGACAATCCCCATGACCCCCGATTCCTGCACAGGCCAAGGGAGGACCACGGTTCACCCCCAAAAATGGCCCACGCCACCCCCCCTGCACCTCCTTTGGAAGAAAGCCATGTTGAGTTTGAGGAAGAGAAAAACTGGGAATCAGGTTCACCCGGTTTGTCCAAGCAGCACTCTCTGCCCAGGGATGTGGATAGCATTCTCAGTGAAGAGCTCACTGGGTTCTCCACGGAAGTACAGGATCTTCTGAGGCGGGAGAATATCTATTACAGCTCCCGGCCGGCTGTTTCGATCCCAGACCAGCTGTTGGGGTTTTCAAACTATATCTGTTCCTACACGTCACCGGTTCCCGTCCAAAGCTACGTGAGCACATTGCGTGAGAAGATGAGCGACTTGATCGACTCTAAAACAGATCATGTTGGTCTTCCTCCTGCATCTCCTACAAGACCGTTGAAGTTGTCACCTCAGCACCATCCTCCTGAAAGTCTACCTCGACCCGGTGCAGTAAAGGAGAGGCAATTATCGCCTCTGGATGCACAAGAATGTTTCCGGAGGACTGATCTGGATATAGCAGCCATGCACGGAGACCCTTCCTCTGGAACTGCAACTGAGGAGCGAGAGACACTGACGGTGGACAGTAAAGACCAGGTGCCGCTGCTGGGTGATGCTTCCTCCACTGAAGACCCCGCTGAAAGTGCAGTTCTGGGTCCAGCACCGTCGTCCATTAACAACCTGATAAGCCAGCTGAAACCGGAAGTGTTCAGCAGCTTGGTCAAAATCATCAAGGACGTGCAAAAGAATACTGTGAAGTTCTATATCCACTCGGAGGGAGAAAGCGAGATCTGCACTGAAATAAAGGTATGATTCCATGGGTGTCAAGGTATTCCACGCCTCCGTCGAGTAATAGAATGTTTAGAGCAAGGGCTTATGATTCTGAAGGGAAAAGAGGGTAGATGCAGGAATGGTTAGATCACCTCGTAAAATAAGCCAACCTTAGAAAACGATCAATATAAATTGTTTAACTTTGGGGAAAACTAGCAGTATACCTCATATACTGGGCATGCGTTTGCTTTTCTAATACTTAAGACTTCTGGGTCTAATGGAGGAAATGTGCCTTTGTGTGCTGTAGTGGCTTTTTTTTGTGTCACCAGTCAGCCCGGAAACCACATAAATTGGAATGTATTTAAAATACCAAAATCTCTTCCTTCTTGACGTTTCAGGAGTACTTGATGAGATTAGGGAACTCGGAGTGTGAGCCGCAGAAATTCCTGGAGAGCCAGAACAATTTAGACAAGCTGTTGATCATCATTCAGAACGAGGACATTGCTACTCATGTGCACAAGGTACGGTTTTCTTGGAGGTTTAAAGGGGAACTGCTGTCCCAAGTTCTTAGACCGGTTATTAAATATCGGTAAAAGTTCATTGACGTCATAGGAAGAAAACTACAAATTCCGAATTAAGTGTGAAATCCTGAACTTTGTAAAAGTACTCTGAGTTCCCATGAGTTGTGATGTGATGCAGCCCTTCCTGCTCACTAGTCACTGGTGTATGTGATGACTAATGTACTGTAATGCACAAGCAAATAAGTACAGGTTGTGCAGAAAACATTTCACAGCAGAAATGTTCCAACGTGATCTGATTGCGGAGTTAAAAAGTAAGTAGTATTTGTCAGCAACACAGTCTTGAAATTGAACGCGATATTTCTGTTGGATTAAAAGTGATATATTCACAAGCCTGCTTTGTTTACAATGTTATAGGGCTGCAACATGTCACCAAATCGCACCGTACTCGTTCTGAATCGCAGAACGTGGCACTGCTTATACCTGGAAATTTAGTTTATTTCGTGATGTGAATTGGAGGTTTTACAAGTTCCTGGGTACATTTTACTTTTATTGTGGCTTGAAATGAATCCATTAATGATTCTTTCTAACCCTGAAATATAAAACTAGAGTTGCAGTTCCACTTAAAGCTACAACTCATGCAGCTAGCATTGACATTCGTGTCAGGCCACACTTGCACTAAACTGTGTACTGCATCTGAAACTAAGTTGTAGAACAAATCAAACACAAAAAGAAAGTCATTGAGCACCTTCCTCCCTTAATTTCTATGTAATGTGGTTGAGCAGCAGTAAGTTAAAAGTTTGAGTGCTGTGAATTATCCATCCTAATCCAAAAAGAGATTCAAAGTAGAGGAAAAAGTTGCTGCCATCAGGATTCTAAGGAGCATATATAGTCGTATACAGTTCAAATTCAGAATGTTTCTTTTTGAAGAAGTTTCTGAAAATAATCACCACATAGGTAAGGCTTTTCCATTTTCAAAACCGGACATTTATGATCATCAATGGTGTTATGTTGTAAAAAAAAATGCTTGACCACAGGAAGCATTTCTGATGTTTTGAAGTATCCCGCTTCTTACCGGACTTAAGGTTTCACCAGAAAGCTGAGAGAGCTCCAGTTGGCTAAACCGAGCTCTACCCCAATGGCATTCAACTGATTGTGCCCTGACACTTGGGGAGTCCCAGTCACTATTAGCTAGTGACATGGTCCAGGTTCAGACGCACCATACCTGGGCCTCACAGCTTGACCTGGGCTTACAGCAAGCGCCTTTACTGGTTGAACCAATTAAAGAGCTTGTTTCTTTTTGAGAATTACACAGCCTTTGCCTGCTCCTTTCTTACGTGTTCAATGTTTACATACTGAGTGTGTTACTGCCAGACAATGAGCGGTTTTCTGAGCTGTTTTACAAATTCTGGTAACTAGTTCTGGATCACAAACCTTATTGGAATTGTCCTTAATAGAAGGGCTCGGGTGGTGTGTGTACCACGCCAAAGCATCCTGTGCAGAATTCAGCTTCTTTCATTCTGAAGTGCTTTCCACACCAACTGGATTGTCTGTTGTTTTTTCTGTTGTAACAGATTCCTGCCCTGGTGTCTTTGAAGAAGCTGCAGTCCGTGAGTTTTGCAGGGGTGGACAGCCTGGACGATGTGAAGAACCACACGTACAATGAGCTGTTTGTGTCGGGGGGCTTCGTCGTGTCGGACGAGTTCGTTCTGAACCCGGACTTTATCACTTACGGTGAGGCGTTTTAGCAAGGGTCTCGCTTTCAAGGGATTTACTGTTCTGTTAGGTTACGCTACTGATCTAGCCTGACCTCTTGGAATGAGACTTTTGAAGTGTGCAGCCAAGTACAGAACACTGTTCGCACTGCAAGAATGTATATAGTGTTTCAAAAGCGTGAATTTTTTCTGTACTAAGGATTTTTTTAAATGGGTTTAAAGTGAGTTTTTGTCATGGGGGAGGGGGAACATGGAAGAATTCAAGTGGGGACAGACATTTTAATAATTGTGGACTATTCTGTTTTTTGTGATTACCTGTTTTTGAGTTAATGTGGAAAAACCTCTTTAAGGACGTGATTTGATGGCCAGGAAGAATACAAGGGAACCACATTGTGTCAGACAAAGTAATGTTATACAAAGTTAAAAAAATAACCGAAAGACCAATTTAAACTTCTCGTGCGAGGTTCACTAGCTCAGTGTGTTACTGTAGGATAATTCCTAGTAACTAGTTGAGAATCTGGGTTACAAACCTCATTGAAACTATCCTTAACAGAATTGCCGAGATTGTGTTTGTGCCGCATGCTCTGCAAGAACTATGCATAAGCAATATTTTCTCTCCAGAGAGGCTGGAGTGTTTCCTCAAATTCCTGGAAGAGCAGAGCACTTCTGAAAGCAGCTGGCAATGGAAGGTTCACTGCAAAACGCAGAAGAAACTGAAGGAGCTGGGCAGGTCAGTACTGGTCTTTCTACCCGGCATTTGCAGCTACAATGGACTGAAACCCTGGCGTTCCCAACCAACCTGTCCGTTATTGTGAAGGTGTGGTATTGGCATGTTGCTACCATGAGCTACACATTAGTAAGGGCTGGATATTGGTGATGCTTTTGGTGTCTCCATCTGTGGTCCCGAAGCTCCCAAGTCCAGCGGAATGTGTAGAGAACCATTAAGAAGGTGAATACCTTTCAGCCCTCAAAAAAAAAAGTTTCATTAATTGGACAAGTCACTTGCTTGATTGATCGACAAACTATAAATGTTTCATTAGCATGCAGATCACCTAAGCAGATGACTTAGGTGAGTTTCTCTTAAGAGCTTAACATCAACATCTTCATTCTTGATCTGTACTTTGTCTGAATAGTGAAAGTTGAAAGGCAAGCCTTAGGTCTTGGGTGATGAGGGGTGGTCAGATAATGGCGCTGTCTCTCTCCACATAGATTGAAGCCTGATGCCCTGAGCCTGCTCAACCTTCTAACAGCATATCAGAAGAAGCACCTTGTGGAGTTCTTGCCTTATCATGAATGTGACTCCCCATCCCGCCACGCCCCCGACTTGGACTGCCTGATCAAACTGCAGGCCCACAACACGCAGCATCGGCACATCATCTTCCTGACAGGTGTGCCACCCCAATTTTCTGAATCTGAACTCACACGTGCCATCTTGTTTCTCACGCAAAGCCTCTGCTGCACACACATCCATGTCTACCTCTCTCTCCGTTACTGTCCCTTCCTGTCTCCCAGTTGATTAACTCATCTTGCTTGCATCTTGTCCTCTCCGCTCATCTTTTGTCACGTTGCTGGCTTTTGTGTGCCTCTTCCCTATCTTGTTCATTGCTCCCTGAATCTCACCCCCTTAGGCTTGTTTTCAATTAAGGTTAAACAGTACCTACTTGAGTGTCACAGAAACATTGAAATGTATTATAGCACAACTCGAGGGGTCCAAATGTCTGATTCTCCTGGCATTAACACAATAGTTTTCAGAAAATTAATTTTTACATGTTCAGATATTCAAGTATTTAAGTTAACTGCAGTAGTTCTCTTCAGTCAAAACTCCTCATGTTTGTAACCAAATCACTCCCGATCTGAAATTGTGGTGGTTTCATACGCCCCCTGCGCTGTGGGTTTATTTTTTAGAGAGGAGGTTTGAGATGTTTCCCCATTACTCCAGCAACGGCATAATGATTGCCAGCATCGACGACTTCATGACCAGTTTCCACAGCCTCATCGGGTTCAGCTGCAGCGAGGAGAAGCAGCTGGCCCCAGAAGGCAGTTCTCAGGCACCCGGCAAAGGTCAGTGAGGGTCCTGCCCACATCAGGAGCACAGCCTGTCTGCCCCAGCACCATGTGTGAAACCCTGGACCAAACACCGGGCCCTCGAGTTTGAATCTAGAACTGTGATTTAAGTAATCAGGTTCTCGGAGGTTAACCTCTTGACTATCCTAACTACTAAGTGTAGGTTTTTGCCTTTCTGGAACTGCTTTTATTTGCCCAATTTTGTGTAATTAAGAGCAATGCCAATGATTTCTGTTTTGAAAAGCAGTAAGAGAAGAGTCCGAAATATGCCAAAAGTCTGTGATCCATTGGTGTCCTTGCATGAACACAGCACTGCCATCCTGCCCATGCAGCTTTTTCCATATGACATCCAAAGTACTTGGCATAGAAACTAGTACTTAGTATAGTTTCAATTAATGGAATAGTAAGAACATAACACTGATGGTGAAGAGTTTATAATGTACTGTGTAAGCTTCTGGATGTGTACTGAAGTAGTGTGCTGGCTCAGGGCCACTGACTGTTCCTGTGTGACCGAGTGCTGTTGTCTCTCCAGTGGCGGCACCGTTGAAGGACACGTGTGTGCAGGAGGACGACATGTCCCTGGACTCGGGCGACAACTCTCCCGTCATCGAAGAGCCCCTGCAGCCCCGCCCGAAAGATGGCCTGGATAAGCGGCTCAGTGAGGTGGACCTCCCGCCCCTCCCCAAGAGCGAGGTGTTCCGGCCTCCCCTTCCGGAGCCGCCCGCCCTGCGGGAGTCCCCCTTCCCGCCCAAGACTCCGCAACAGCTGGACTTCGAGGTCTTGAAGTCGGCCATCTCGCTCTTCAGGAGCTCGGGCCAGAAGAACCGGTGGCCGGAGGAGAAGCCGGCGGCGGACGTTGAACTGGATGGGGACTCGTCGGCGTCAGGCGGGTGCGGCAGCTTCAGCGTGAACACCCATCAGAGCTTTCTCAGCGCGGCCATGCAGTCCGGGTTCTCGACTTCCCCCGCGTTCCCGGAGTCCCCAACCACTCGGGAGCTGGAGAACAAGACCACCTCCTCCGCTCTTCCTGTGAGCCCTCCCGGTGCTCCCCCAAGAAGTGCCATCAGCCAGGCTGTGTGGCTTGTGCAAACACCCACCCTTGGTGCTCCTGTAACTCAGGCTAGTCAACCCCCTGCAGCACACAGAGACAGCAAGTCACCATGTGGAATCCCGGACAGGGGTAGCATTCATTCCAATTTAGTGCCCCTCGGTAATCCTGCTGGTGAGACCTCTGAACATAAGGGAAGTGTTCATGCTTTCTCCCCCTGGGCTGCTTATTCTGCCTCCCAGACTGTGAACAGCATGGGAGATGCTTCACAGATCTTGGATACCTGCAGTCAGGCCCATTCAAGCAGTGCAAACAGTGCCTCTGGGACTCCAAACAGTCAGAATGATGGAGGGTGCACCACTACAGCAAGCGATCAAGGACATGCAGTCAGCCCCGTCAGTGGAACCAGTGCATCCGGGACGCCAAACAGTCAGGGAGGGGGTACTCCCAGTTCTGCTAGCTTCAGTAATAAGGGAGATGGGAAGACGTCCACTCCTGGCAGTGAGACCCCAAACAGCCAGGGCAGCCTCACTCCGGGACCTGCTGGGGATCAGCTGAAAGGAAAGGCTACAATCCCCAGTGGGACCGTACCTAGCAGGGCGGGCAGTAGTAAGGGTAGTGGCCCTGTTCCACCACAGGGGGGCGCAGATTCCAGGGACCAAGCAAGATCCAGCAGTCCCACTTCTGGGATGTCGGACAGCCAAAAGAGGGGAAGCCGGGGGGGGTTCCGTGGGAGAGGGAACCCTAGCAAAGGTCACAGAGGCAGGGGCGCCCCCAAATGGCAGCAGGGCACCCCTTACGGCTGGGGCTATCAAAAGAGAGGAGGACACTACTCGCACTTCACGGAGGACTTCTGCCCCTGGGTGGGCAATCGGAACCACCAAGGGGACAGGTATTACCCTCCAAGAGACAGTTACAGCTCGCACCGGTCAAACAACTGGTGAGCAGAATGTAAATAGATTGTCAGAGCGCTTTAACGGAACCCATTTTTTTCTACAGATGCGGACATCAACAGTCCATGTGGTGTAGCTGGATGCTAGGCTTGCCAAGGCAAAATCCCCTTCAAATTCAAACCACTATATTTTGTATTTGCCAAGATGATTTTGCTGCCTTGACGTCCAGCGTTTTTTTTTAAATTTGTTATCGTTTGTTGTATTTGTTCAGACTTTTTGAATGGTTCCCAAACAAACAGGGGATATCGGAGTTAAACTTGCAAGTTCCCCCTCTCCTCCCCAAGACCCCTTAGGCCTCCCCCTTCCTAAAATCCTGTATTCAAAGGGCGATGACAGCCACTGGTTTTAATGTTCAAAAGATCTGTTTTTTTTATATTTAGGTTGGTCAAAACTTGTGGATGTTTCTATTAAACCCGCTTGTATGAAAACGGAGAGTTCTGACTCTGATGACTTAATTACAGTGATAATTAGGGGTGATTCTGCGAATCATCTTTGTGAGCAAAACCTGTAGAAATGGAGTACGTAACACAGGTGAAGGAATTGGGGACATGCCTAAAGGTCAGCAGGACGCTCAGGGTGTTATTGCCATAACCTCAGTTACAATTAACATTGGGTTTGGGTTGTAATGTTCATATATTCCAGTTAATATAGAGGCTTTCTGTTCAAAACCCCCATGTCTGCTAATAGTGCTGTGAAACATTAACAGAGGTAAACAGTGAATTATTTTAACTTCAATTTTTAAGCCAAAAGAGCTTAAAGGAGTAGAATGCAACACGAATTGTTCTTCCCATGTATAAATTTCAATTAAAATGTCAATGACTGAACATGGAGCCATGAGCTACCTGTACACTGCTGAAGCAAAAGATACAGTTTGAGGATCTGAATACCTGTGACCTCCTGGTTTTGACACGGGCAGGAGTCCCATGGATGGCACGTGTTAATGCTTCCAGAAGGACTTCCCTATGCTGTTCTTCAACATGATGTTAAGGTTCTGAACGTGCTGCTTTAGCTGGAATATCCTAGGCTGTGGGTGTTAAAATAACAGGGAGACAATTTTTGAGTTTAAAGCTTCTGTGACTTCTGATGCTAACTGTATGATCAATGCATTGGACAGTGAGAGAAAGGACATTCTCTGAAAAGATGGGTTTCTGAGCTGTAGGTATGCATGAAAGTCCTGTCATCTACGTTCTTGAAAAAGATGTATGACTTTGGGGCACAAAAATTAGTCTGTGATACTTCCTAGTCAGCTCCCTTATTTCAGAATTAGCCAAAGACTAGTTCCTCCTACCCGTTCCAGCATGAGTCTTGGTTACAGCTCTTCAATTGCAAATGAATTGTTAATCAAAAAGAGCTGGTTGTATACAAACTTTGCAGTGGAAGGTCTGGTATTTGCAAATCTATTCCCTTCCTTCCTTCTGTTTTTAAGATGCTTTCTCAGGGATTTTGGGAACAGTTTGTATACCAAATCTAATACAATGCTAGCCTCCCAGAAAGCACAGATGGGGCATAATTTCTAGAAACCCTAGAAAGACTCTTGGTGGAAGGTGGTGGAAGTCCTCTTCATTTGTAACATCTACCAAAAGGAAGCAAGGATCTCTATAATCAAGGTTAACAGGGATATACATGTAATTTTCACTTGAAAAGTGAAGGTTTTTACTTCCAATTGTTCTACTCAGTCCTGTTTTAAAAGGCACCGTTCTTTGTGAACATTTTCCGCTTTGACCACATAGATAATCCAAACTCCTTGTTTATCTCCAATTTCTTAGGAGGTTAGTATAATCCTTTCCATTTCATTACTTATAGGTTTATAAGCTGGGAGGGCTACATGACTGCATCTTGCAGGAGCAGTGAAGCACTAGATCTAACCTGTACAAGCTGATGTTTTTTTGTGTTTTAGAAAGTATTACTAAGAAACTGTCAAAAACCTGCATCCCTTGCTACAGCGGTGGCTGCTGAACGGGACTATTGTTGAGGTCTCTGGTCATGACTGTCTGCAATTAGTGGAAATGAGAGCAATGAAGCACAGGGTGCAAAGCCCACCTTTCATAAGAATGGCAAGAATGGTTCATGAGGTGGTGAGCAGTTGTCCTCACATTACTAGAGCAGGGCCTTAGTGTTGTGATTAAGACCTGCCTCCAAGCAAGTCTGGATCTGTTATCAAAGTTGCTCCAATTCCTTTTTCCACATTACCAGCCCAAGCTAGCTGTGGAAATCTATAAAGCTTAGTGTACTACACTGAATGTGTGGGAGCTGATGGAGTTTATTTCCTGATCTTTTTTTTTGACTGGTGAATAATTTGAACCCTTACCCTAAAATGCAGTGGCTGTACTTTAGAAAGACAGATAATCTGAAGAGATTCTTTATCTCCTACCTCCAGGGAAGTTTACCACACTGGCTGTGAAATGACATTTCTGACAATTTTATTTATTAAAAAAAATCAACAGAGGATGGATTTTAGGGTTTCTACATATAAAATTCAGCTATAATTCAGTAGTGTTAAACACTTAAACCCTTTTATGGTTAGCAAACTTTTGTTTTTAATAAATAATACATTTCTAGAATAACCAATTTACAGTACAATGATCTTCACAGCATCTTTGATTTTTTGAAAATGACAATTTAATTCCCTCTACATTCACCGCACTCACTGCAATACTACAAATACTGGTCTTGCTTCTTTGCTGCTATAATAAGCAGTTCTGTCCTGTTTCCCTATGAATCCTCTTGTTTCAGTTCTGTGTTAAAGTGCTGCTGGTTCTTCATCACAGGAAGGTAGTGCTCCTCTCCAGCAGCAGCACTCCAGTTACTGGAAGGAAAGAGGTGGGTTTTCCTCTTGGTGAAGCAGCAGAGGGCTGAATCCTGACTCCAGTTCTCTCTGCTTCTGCAGCAGTCCCTGAAAATCAAACAGATTTTCTCACCATACTGACCTTTCATCATCGGCTCTCAAGTGCTCTGCTAGAGTCTTCCACAACTGCTAGAGAATACAGCGGTGACATGACTAGGGATGAGCCATCACTTGTTTCTAATTAGGTTCCCCTGGAGATTGGACCCCGATATTACCTGGCGCAGCTCCGACAGCCCTTTGAGAATGGCCTGCTGTCTATCTCGGTTCTTCAGTAGCTCTGGGTGCAGCAGAGGGTCTCTGTCGTGACTGGGAGCAGTAGGCTGGGGGTGTTCACCTTAATATAATGCACACAGGTAACAGGAGGTATTAGTGTACACGAAAGGAAGCTTGCTCGTTGACTGTGCACTCTAAACTCTAGGAATATTCTAGTCAAGTACAGCTGGACACAGTACAGCTTAAGTCAAAGCCCTCTAACAGATTAAAGGGCATTTTCTCCATATATTTGGATTCATCCTTTATTAACCACTGAACAAATAGTTAAGCTTATATTTAAAAGGATAAGACATGTTTTTTTAAAGAATATGACTCAGATGGCCTTGTACTTTGGAGTTTCAAGATTATATTTTTTGTGCATGTGAAAAGTAGAACTCTTCAAGAATACGAGACCCTACATTTCATTATGAACAATGATATCCTTTCCAGTACACTCGGTGTTTTCCCCAGAGCTACATTCAATCCAATCTCTTAACGAGGGCACGAGCAAGCTTGTGTATTGATGTGTTCTTCCCTCTCACCATGGTGCAGTCCCCTTGTGGGGGGTCTGGAGAGGGGGGCATGGGGATCGAGCTGGTACACCTCATCTGTGCGGACGTAGGGGACAAAGTGGGATGAAGGAGGCCGCTCAATGGGCACTGGTGGCGCTGGGGTACAGCGGCGGTCCTGTAGCGCTGCGGTGGAGGCCGGCGAAGCCTGGGCAACGGGTTGAGAGGGGTTCACTGGTCTGTAGTGCATCTGCTGGAGTCGGTGCTTCACTGCAGGAACTGGGGGAGAGGAGGCCCTGCACACAGCACGGAGAGAAGGGACATTAAATTTACTGCACACAGAGGGATGCTCTTTGCTGCCTGCATAAATCGGTTTCTAAAGGAGTACAGTTTGGAAGTTTTCAAACAAAACTTGATATATATAGGAACATAAACGATCACTTGCATGAAGAGATCCTTGCTAGCTCTAAAACGGTGCTGATTTCTTTAGGTTCAGCCTGAATTCTCAGGAGTAAAGTTCACTTTTGGGGGAGGTGGAAGTTTTCAAAGGCTCCATCTTGAACTGGCTAATTTAACTGTACCTGTTGTCTGCATATGGATTTGTGTGCTTCAGTAGGTTTCTTTGCAAATGTTCTTCCTTTGGAAAAACAAAACATAACATAAGAAACCAAAATACACAAAATCAGACAGGTGTAGAAGAATTTGTGAAAGGCAAGCAGATGGAAAGGACGGCGGGAGTCTGGGAGCTGTACCTTCCTGTGGGTGGGGGGGTGGAGCCTGGGTGCAGGCTGTGGGGGCTGCTGGGAAGGGGGAGGAGACGGCAGGCCAGCAGCTGGCCTGGAGGGGGCGTTCCTCTCCGCCAGCGTGAGCAGCTCCAGCTGTCTGCGCAGCCGGCTCTCCTGCCTCTCCTGCTGCAGCCCGTGCGGGTAGCGCTCGGAGGCTGGGACAAAGGGTCTGCTGGGCTTCTGGCTGTTCCACCCGGGCTTCCTCTCTTCTCTTGGGCCACTCTGGCCCTGCCTCCTGCCCGTCCGAGCAAAGGCCTCATACAGGTCTCCCTGCTCCCGGTACACGTTCTCTTTCCCCATCACCCTGGGCTCCCTCTTGGCCTTCTTGGCGCTGTGCAGGTGCCTGTACTCTGTGGGGATCTCTGGTGTCTGAGGCAGTAGTCCTCCATCTGCTGCAGGGGCGGCTTCTAAACCCATGTTCAGCATTTCTAGGTCTGCGCACACAGAGACATTCACCGTCAGACTCTCTCATTCCTGCACCGCTGCATAGTGACGTTGTTCTATTCAATGAGCTCCTTGTTGCTCCCTCTTGACTAGAAATGTTTGCATGTTTGTTTTCAGTAAAATATTTTTTGTACTCCCCCCCATTTACAATTAAAATGCAGTTTTAAATGGCAGTTTAGGGCCTTTCTGATTTGGTTTAAGTGTGAAATCAGGCTTCAGTCCTCAATGTCTCAATGTCCTCATGTCAGCTTGGGGGAAAATGAGATGTGTCCAAAACTATTTTAAGCGTGTTTTACTAAACAAAAACAAACATCTGATACAGCAGAATATACTAGTCTTAAGAATAAAGTAGTAGAACTTTCCTGTTCTCTTTTCTCTGCTCTTGGCTCTAAGTTAACCAGCATTACATGGTGGTCACTTGTATTGTATTTATCGAGGCTGTCCAGTTTAAATGGGGGAGTCCTTTTTAAGCAGGGTAAATGCCAGAGCGCTGTGTGGTCATGTCAACAGTGTACAGTGGTATACCTGTTTGCACTGCTGTGTCTTTCCTAGGAGACTCGGCAGTGGAATTCTCTTGGTTTATATCTTCAGGGGCTTCTGCTTCCTCTCGGGTACAGCAACTGCCTGGGATGATTTCCCTGCTTGTAGAGCCTAAAACAAAAAGGTCACAAGCTTGCCTTCAGTTCTGTTACAGCAGCGCATTTTAAGGCCAGTTTCAATTCCAGCCCTTTACTCAGGCAAAGGGCCAAGATATTTTACATCTCTCACAAAAACCCTGTTCCATTTTAAGAACCTTTCTTCATGCAAAATAGTGAATAGTATATATTTTTGGGTAAGCATCACTGCTACCACTAAGAGTGTTTAAATGGCTGTTTAAAAAAAATCAAAACGAAATGTTACCTATTTCTGCCTACCTGTATATAATATAAGCCATCCCTCCACCGCATCTTCTCCCTTGCGGCACTG